CTGGAAAAATTGCGAGGATCTCCCTCAGACACTCTCTGGGCGGATAGGTATAGTCGATCTTTGGAATTTTAGGCCTACGAGGTTGACCAGTACTTTTTTTTTTAATTGTAGAGTTTGCTGGTAGATGGCGGGAAATGCATTTTAAAGGTGATGGGTAGATGGAGTTGTGAGATAATATTTGGAGGCAGGGAAGTTCGTGAAGTTTGAAGTTTTATATGATTTTAGATTGTAAAGACTTTTGAAATATACAAAAATATTAAATTTTGATATCTCAAGTGTCCAACATTTCTGAGACTTTTATTGAAGACAGAAAAGATTTAGGGATGCAGAGGCTCCTATAGAAGATGTAGACAATAGCTACAAAGTGTATTTGAGGTTCTGAGTGTTTGAGATTACAGAGATTTCTGCTGTAGACAGAGACGTTGTTATACTTGTTATACTGAGATTCTAGGTATTTGAGATTGTAGAGATTTCTCAAATAAATGGAAAAATTGAGATTCTAAGTGTTGAACTATTACCAGATTATTATTCAGATTTTTTTACAGAAATTTGATCGACACTTTTTTCTGTCTTTTCATATTTGTTGAAAATAAGGATAGTTAGAGTTCATATTATTGCAAGAATATTTTGAAGTCCGTTTCTCTCCTCAGTTATAGTCCATAATTTCCATTAACAAGTACCTGCTCTCTACTACCAATTTCAAATTTATATTTATCGAGTGTACAATGATTATCTCTCGCATTTCAACTTTGGGAACCTCTGGTCTGTAGTTTTCACATGACTAGGAGCAATTCGTTAGTCTTCGTGGTTATATATTTATTAGCGTTTAACAATCCACCATCAAGCAATTTGTCAGTGACGCGGTTCGATTTAATTCGCGCCGTTTAATTTATTATCGCAACGTGAGCCGCCAGTTTACAAAACATTCACATTCGTTTCTCCAAACCTACCATTGGTAAACTTTCGAACTCATATCCCTGGTTACATGTTAATCTGTTTTCTGTTTCCTTTGCTCCGCTGTATTGTGTACACTGTAGTATCAATTTCATCTGGTAACGGTTAATGCGGTATTCATAATTATTTTGGCAAGCATTAAGCAACAGAGACTGGTCTTGTTCAAGAATTCACGAAACACAAGAAACCACACAGATCTTGTGAATCTAAAAAATTTAAGTCACATAACCAATAATTTAAATTTAAGAAAGCTCAAGCTGACTCTTTGTGTTTAAAATTTTTAGGGTAGAACATAGTGTTTATTGATTTTATTGATTGCAATTTTTCCAAATTTACAGTGAGATGAGGAAAGAGATTTTGTGGAAATATTGTAAATTTTATCTGTACATAGGGTGAACACTGTTTTCTTTTGCATTTATTTTGTTTGGTCATATGTTTTATGCATATATATATTTTTTTTTTCACTTTTACTTTTGAACTTTATCTAGCAGAAATGGGCAAGGGGATATAAGAAGATGTAAACTCAAAACGAGGACGTTAATCAAACTTGCCAATTCTTGAACTGTACCATCGGTGAACAAAGTATTAACGGTGTCGTCGTTGATTTACTGCGATTTCAGGCAATGGGACAATCTAATTACACTCTACCTGTATCCGTACCAGTGAATAGTTATGGCGAATCTCTACTTGGATCTAGTCCTCAAATGGCGCATACCAGCATTTCTCCAAGACCATCGTCTTCTGAAACAGACTCAGGTACAAACATCTAACCTAACTTAACCTATTTGTTTCGTGTTTCTGTCAGTCCTTAGACTTACACACTGGTTTCATTTATCAAATAGATATACCTAACTAATCCTAGATACAGTTCTAATATTAATATTTTTATTAACCACTAGAGTAACGAGTATTGATTATGTTGCTCTTTGTTCAGTATATCCACCAGGAGGGATGTTGGAAATGAGCAACGGATATCCTCCATCGGCATCACCGCTTGGAGGTTCACCTAGTCCAGGGCCTTCGCCGGCGCTAGGAGTCGGAGGAGGCAGCGCAAACAAAGGCAGCAATCAGTCTAGGCATTCGCCACAACCTCCGCCCCCTCCACCGCCACCACATCCTCACAGGACTAATCTTCGAGTAGTTATTCCAACACCCCTTACGCAACCTCTCTCCGAAGACACTAGTTATGATGTAAGTGTACCATGCTTGTAAAGTTTGCTTGAGTACGCAGAAACGATGGTTAAATACTTTACATTACTGGTGGAGAATTATGTTATTCTATATTTTTGATTCTTGCTGTAATCTATCATTCTTGGTTTTAAATCTGTTTAGTTTTAAATCACTAATTTTTAGTATTCGAAGCAAATCATTTTTTGGATCTGATTTATAACCAATTTCCTTTCTAATACAAGGAAAATTATTCACGATGTTAAATTATTAATTTATCTTTTTTTAATCTACAGAGTGGCCATGGACAATCTGCATTGAACACACCGGTAGTAGCATTACAAACACCATCAGTACCAGCCGGATACTCTAGTTTCGGACCAACGGATTATTCCTCGGACCTTGGGAGTCTAGCATGGTCTCATCAGAGGTACGTTGATGACTTATCAATGTATTCGGCAGCCACCATGTCCAGCATCAGGTAAATCACATTTCATAATTATTGTTATAAAAGAAAACTATATATCCAGTTGGTGTTGACTCATCCAAGACCAAACTTAAAATACTTTGATTCTTCTTTGAGACAACATTGCGTTCAGCTTTTCTACGCAATATCCTTTTCAAGAAAGGATTGAAGATTATCGTATAAAGCTTAATCGTGCTTGCAACGACGGCACTCATTCTAACAACGTTTTTTCTATATTTACCCGAGTCGAGGATAAAAATAGCAAACAACGTCCACTGGAGTTTTATAGTTTTTTTTCTTCTGTTTGAATAGTCGTTTGTAGCGTGCCAGTGAATCATGCAGTGTGTTTCATCATATTCTAACTATCATCATCCAAATTTTGCTTCACATTCATTCCTTTACATAAATTTATCTACTAGTAAAATAAAATTCTTTGATTACAAATTCTCGAGTCAAGATGTAATCTCATCTCAAAGAGCAAACATACATAGCAGCTCTATAACAAAAGGAAGAAATCTTTACAATTGAATCTTACATCCCTAACATTATTTGATTACAGTGGTCTTCCTCATCTAGCTGTGTCGAGTAGTACGCCACCGCCAGCCACATCGCCATTACCAGTGAAAATAAAGAGTGAACCAATCAGTCCGCCGCGGGATCCACACGGCGGTAACAGTGGCTCGAACAGTAGTGGGCCAAGTAATACCAGTAACCTTCATCACACGACTCTAAACGTCGGACCATCGTCCAGTACCGGTGCACCGCCTCCACATCATGTATCTCATCCTGGGCCACAATCGTTGAATCTTGTATCAAGCAGACCAAGTAGTAATCCACCGCCATCTCATTCGGGTAGTATAACACCGACGAATCTACCGTCGCCAGGCAGCGCCACGGTGGCGGACATTCGAACAAGTCACTCGAACGCCGGTGGAAATGGTGGCAACAACTCAGACTATGAGAACGGACCGCTTATGAAGCGTTCCCGTATCACCGAGGGCTGGGCGACTTAATGTCAATCGTTACGGTTAATCGCTCGATCGTTTCATACCTCTACGTACAACGGCGTATAGTGCTTGTGAGAAGTTCCGGGGACTCGAAGTCGAAGACTCGTTTAATAATTACAACATACACAAACACACACACACACGTTTAGCCATGATTATTTCTTGGTTGGGTGCGCGCGTGAGAAAGAACGATCCTCGTGAAGTCCGACTTTGGCTGGACGAAGAACACAAATTTGTTTATATTTTGAAACCAACACACGTACACGTACACAAACACACAAAATACGTTTGTTTGACGATTAAATAACGGTGCCATAATGTTGAAGCGTTACACGTATATATATATGATGAATACATATACATATATGTACATATATACATGTATATACACATATAGGTATATATATATGTATATGTATATTTTTTTTTTCATGTATATAATACGAAAGTTGTTTGTATATATGTCATTAATTCATTGTCATTTTCTTCGTGATATGGCATATTGTGTCTTTAATACTTGTCGCTATGACAAGGTTATTCCTTTACAAACAGTGAAAGGAAATGATATGTGGTACGTTTTAGGGAAGATGTTTAGAGAAATGTGACACCGAAAGCAAGGCATTTTCGTGGGATAAGTGCATCGACAACCGAATTTCTATAAGAGCTTGCGAAACGTCTATGATTTTACGGTTTAGAGATTTAACGAATAATTGTACTTTGTTACTTGTTTTTTTGTGCGTTATGACGGTAGGTAGGCAAGTCTGC